CCGGGCCCTATACTTATTGTACAGGAGCCCCATACTCCGGGCCCTATACTTATTGTACAGGGGCCCCATACTCCGGGCCCTATACTTATTGTACAGGGGCCCTTATGGTTGTGAATATATTATATAATGAAATACTCGGTGTACACTTGAAACAAGGTTATTCGCTGGCACGCTACGCGACAAATTAGTTTCAGTGGGCCCCCAGATACCGGTGGGCCCTAGGCCAATGCCTACTTGGCCTATTGGTAAATCCGGTCCTGCTGGTGAGTTCAAAACCCGGGAACCTGTGTTGATGAGAGAGTAGGTGCCACTGAGAAATAATGCCTGATGGGCCGTTATCACCCACACCAACACATTACTATTTCACTTTATACATCAGGCAAAGTTTTAAACTGTAATAACTGCTATATGTCTCTTTTTTAGGGCTGAATACAGCCCGATAAAGTTAACTGACCTGTGTTGATGAGAGAGTAGGTGCCACTGAGGCTGGAGGTCCTGTGCCTCTCACCGACGTAGGCCTACAGTTTCCAAACTTTAATTTTCACTTTGATTTCTTATGGTTCTCACATGAACACTTTCCCGTTTATTGTGACCTTGTGTCTTATAAATACATATTTTAATCCTGACTTACATACTAGAATACAGTTCGGGTTTGACAGTTCCGTGGGAAATTAATTGGGCTATATCATCAACTCAGACCTGTAGTCCGGGTACAAAAGACGCTACCCTGAAACAAAAGCCGAATGTTCATAGCATGGGTATATCCACTTCACTTAAAACTGTAATTAGGGATCCTCCTCTCACACATTGCACTACTTGAATACAGACATAAGATTCTCTGATCACTGTACATGTCGTGGGTATATGTCACGTGAGGCTACGAGGTGTATTAAGTTCACACCGATACATTCAAGGTATTTCCTTTCAAGTATAGTTTCTGGGTCACTTCCAACACCTCACATAGTTCTGATACATTTATCCCTTTTCCAGATCATTGTTCTTATGTATTTTCATATGAAATCTGTGGAAGTTATGTTCGCTACACGTTCACAGACGTAAATAGTATGACCGTCAAACCATGATCCACACTTAGTCCTACAGTACACTAGTCCGGCTCAACTGGACTTTCCCGATCATTTTATGGATACCCTGAGTTCTCTTTAATGCTATGAATACATACAATTAACATAATATAACCGTACCTGGGTACAATACAACACATGATTCAGTAACATTGAGTAGGTGAGTAGCCCTTTATCAACGTTTCCCGTTCTCTGAGAATCTTCAAGCGCAGTGGATTTGAATGTTATGTAGCGTAATATGAATTAAAGGGATTTTTTTTTCGGAATAACAATGATGTGCGCATTACAGTACCTCCTTCTTTCTTCACACAGCCAAACTGTGGAATGCTCTGCCTTCTTTTGTGTTTCCATACCTATACAATCTGTCTCACTTTAAAATGCTGGTTTTCCGGCATCTTCGTGGTGTAGATTAACACAGTATAACCCTGTTCTTCTCTATTTTCAATTTCTTTCTGTTCTTTTTTCTTCGACCCCCAGGCCCCGTTCTGGGTCGTTTGACCTATGCCCGGGTGGGCTAAATCCCGTAAAAAAAAAAAAAAGAATTTTAACCACACCCTGCAAAATACAGTGTACTTAGCAAATGTTGCAGCTTTTGAGAATGGGGGGTGGGGCGGGGTTACTACTAAGAGCAGAGACGTTACCGAGAACAAATTCGGGCTTGAATGTCATGTACACTAATACTGAAACGTTCCTTGATAAGAAAGAGGAGTTTGAAACAATACTGAAGGTACACCAACCAGATATTGTAGGAGTCGCCGAACTGTTGTACAAGAACAGGAGAATCGACCCAGAGGAATGTGAGTTCCGTATTGCTGGATATGACTCATTTACGAACCTAACTCAAGAATCCTGCAGGAGGGGTGTGGTTATCTAAGCTAGGCAAGACCTTGGAGCCAGCCAGGCGAGGGTACAGGGAGAGGATGTTTTTGAAGAGTCCAAGTGGTGTAAAATTAAACTAAAGGGAAGGGACTTACTTATTGCCGGGTGTATCCACAGATACACCCGCCTTAATAGACAACGCGGCGATGCTCAACCCTAGCCACCTCCTTATCATGGGGGACTTTAACTATGGCGACATTGACTGGAGAAACGAGTTCACCCCAAGTGACTTGAATAACCCTGCTATTCTTTTTGTAGAAACTCTGAGAGATAATTTTCTGTTCCAACATGCTAGAGACCCGACACATTACAGAGAGGAGCAAACATCCAAGCCACTAGACCTCATTATAACAAACGAGGAGGGTATGGTGGCCAAACTGGAACACCTTGCCCCAGTTGGCACCAGTCACCATACAGTGTTGTCATTCAGATTTAACTGTTACCTAGAACAAGATAAGGCCAGGCCAAGGTGCAAATATTAAAGGGGAAATTACAACGGGATGAGGGAAGAGATGAGAGGTATCAACTGGCCTGACTCATTAAGGTACAAGAACACAGACACTACGCTGAACATCATAACTAGTAATGTGACCCATATGATCGATAAATACATACACAAGACCAAACCCAGTACTTCTAGGAATACGAGGGGATCCCTACACACAAACCATGCAGCGGTCGACAAAGTTAAGAAGAAATCCCAGAAATTCAAGACGTGGGTTGGGTCAAATGATGAGCAGGGCAGGGGGATGTATGCAAGAGCCAGAAAACAAGCAAAGATAGAATGAAGAAGGGCTGAAAAGGAGTTCCAGAGGTTGGTTTCAAGCGAGGTCAAGTCAAACCCAAAGGCGTTTTACCGCTATGCAAAGTCGAAATTAAAAACGCGAGTAGGAGTATCAGACCTGAGGCTGGTGGATGGTAGTTACGCAGATTCTGACCAGGATAAAGTTGAGGCATTGAACAGCTTCTTTTCCTCGATGTTGACAAAAGAGGATGCGATTAACCTTCCTGCGTTTGAGGACAGACGGTTCGACACAGCACTGACCTACATTGTGTTCACAGAAGAGGGTATTAGAAATAAACTGTCAAAGCTAAAGGTCCATAAGAGTCCCGGCCCTGACATGGTGCATCCTAGAGTGCTGAAAGAGTTGAGCAACGAGTTTGCCGAGCCCCTGAAGATCCTGTTTTGTAAATGCCTGGATGAACGAAAGATCCCCAGTGAATGGAAAGTGGCTTATGTGAGTCCTATCTTCAAGAAGGGTGATCGTCACTCCACGATCAACTGGTGAGCCTGAGCAGCATAATATGTAAAGTGCATGAGAGCATTATCAGAGATGCTGCGATGGAACATCCACTACGAAACAACCATGTAAAAGATTGCCAACACGGTTTTATGCCGGGGCGCTCCTGCTTAACACAACTGCTCAAGGTATTGGATATTTGGACCCATATTCTGGAACGGGGTGATAATATCGACAATATTTACCTAGATTTTGCCAAGGCTTTCGACAGTGTACCCCACGAAAGGCTGAAAATCAAACTGGAAGGGTACGGAATTCGGGGAAATGTCCTAACGTGGATAGAAGACGTTCTACATGACCGCAAACACTGTGTGGTGATTAATAGCACTAAGTCATCATTTGTACCTGTCACAAGCGGGGTACCACAGGGCAGTGTATTGGGCACGCTGTTGTTTGTTAGTTTCATAAATGACATGCCTGACGTACACTCCTCCATACAAATTTTTGCCGATGACGCCAAGTTATTTCGGGAAATCAAGAACCAAGCGGACTGTGAAGAGCTGCAGAAGGACCTCTGTGGGCTCCAAGAATGGTCGAAGAAATGGCTGCTGAGATTCAATGTCACGAAGTGTATGAGGATGCACCTGGGGCGTACCAACGGTAAGGAGGCGTATCATATGTCCCAACGGGATGAAGAAGCTGCACTATTTGAGACTGAATGTGAGAAGGACCTAGATGTATGTTGACAATGAGCTGAAGTTCTCAGTACATTGCGAGAAAAGGGTAAATTATGCAAATAAATTATTGGGTCTTATAAGAAGGTCGATCAGATATCTAGACGGCCCGTCCCTCGTAACGATCTTCAAGAGTGAAGTGCTTCCCCATCTAGAGTACTGTCACCCCGCCTGGTCCCCGAGATATGCTAGGGACTGTCAGTTGGTTGAAACTGTTCAAAGGAGGGCCACCAGACTGGTGCCTGCCCTTCGGCACCTCAGCTACCCTGAGAGATTGGAGCGCCTGATCTTGCCTAGCTTATACTACAGACGGGCAAGGGGTGACCTAATAGAGGTGTATAAGCATCTCAAGGGGCATTACTCAGTCGAGTGTCCTTACTTGGAGCTGGCGGACGCTCGCCCCACAAGGGGTCACAGCTCAAGATTGAAGAAGCCGCAAGTCCAGAAAACTGTGAGGGCAAACTTTTTCGGAGTGAGAGTTGTGAACTCTTGGAACAATCTACCCGGCACCGAGTGTGATTTGAGAACCGAGACAGACTCTTCAGAACGGGTGGTTGTGTGTGCGGCCGTTTTTGCAAGCGAGATGTCACGGGTTCGATTCCCGGGCCGGTGGAAGTTGTTTGGACTACTTCCCCTGGCCCCCATTAGTCCCTGTTCACCTAGCAGTAAAGTAGGTACCTGGTGTAAATCGAAAGTTGCGAATTCGTATTCAGGGAAAGTTGTTGGAGCTTCCAATAACTTCATGACATAAACCACTGACTCTTCAGGCTTCTACGCCCTTGACTCTTACGCCCTTAACTCGTGAGACATAAAGGCAAGCATGAACTTAGCATGCTTCCCTGTTGGGCGCTGTAAACGCTTCTGCGCTTCACCTTACACAAGGATGTAGGGGGGTGCCCAATAAAAAAAAAAAAATTGACCAGCATTGGAGCAGGTTCAGGTACATTCAGGAGCCGGTGCATGCCCAGTACTTGCCAACAGTGCGTGACAGAGACGTGACCGATCGCCCGGGCGGCTAACGAGGCGATCAGTGGTGAAGAGGATAAAATAAAAAAAGAAAAGAAAACGATAAGTAAAGAGCTGGATTCGGGGTTCAGGGAGTTGGTTGTCGGGCCTCGGGGCTCAGTGGTTCACTTGTCTCATCACAAGTACACAACATTCACACGCCCTTCTGTGCAAGATCAGAAAATAATCTTGTGCTGACCCGTCGAAGCCTTTATGCAGTTTGTACACAATTTGAAGGAAAATGAACACCCAGAAGACACCAACCACATCCTAACAACACATGGAATAAAGGAAAATATTGAAGAAAAGTGACGGAGACCTTGATGAACGTCGCACAGATCCCCGTGCAGTATATATACTTCAAGATGACATCTTCTTGTCACGTTAACACGTAAAGTAAGGAGACAGATGAGGCTTAATTTATATTAGTGCACCGTTTTTCGGTCATTTTATATTAGTGCACCCTTCTATCTCGGTGTTATATGTAGTTTTTTCCGAATGTTAAGAATTCTAAAATACTTTTCTTCTATGACACTTCTAAAACCGAAAGAAATTTAACCTAACTCAACCTACCCCATTTTTAGTGTAAAACAAACAAACAAACAAAATCACCAAAAACCAACCTAACCTAACCTTAATTTTCGACAAAAATATAGAAGGTGTCTTTGAACTGAAGGTAAATTTTTACTTTCGGACGTGAACCCCTCGGGGTTGACCAACAAGTTTTTCTAGTGTATTTTTGTGTGTTTTAAACGAATATGGCCTTCATTTTTGGCGGAAATTGATATTCCCCCCACCCAACGATAATGGGAGAGAGCCTGGTGAATCGGGCTTTTGGGTGGGGCAGAACACGAAAACGAGTTGTCTAACCTAACCTAACCTAACCTAACCAAACCTTTGGGCTGTGCCATGCCTGAAAGTACATTCCTTAGAAATCCGAGATCACGTATTTACAAATTTTCGTTTTTATCTTCTTTACAACCCTTCTTGGTCAATTACAAAACCACTGATGCTTGTCCTTTCTAAATTTATAGGGTAATTTACAGTGCGGGTACTCAACAGACTTAGGGAGAACACCTTGATAACGTAGAAGTTCTATAGCTTTACCATCTTTCGTAAAACTCAGCAATAAACTTAAAATAATCGTAGGAGCACGCTTGACACCAACCTCTACCACGGCCATTGTCACACTGATTGAATTTCCAAGCCATAGATTTTCAAATCCTTACCCAGGCTGCTTTGAAAAATGCAAATGTGATTGGTAAAAAAAAATTCTCGGGCTGGTATCGATACATCATTGGTCACGACTGGATGACGTCTGTCAATATTGCACCTGCGTGATCCACAACTAACTCAATTGTGTTGCTATTATCCATTTCCGCCAGGTATATATATGAGGTTCAGAATGCGCAGAATAGCGAGATATAAATGTTTCAGTTGTTTATAACTTTGGGATTCACCATGTCCGAAAGTAAAATAATACGCAATTGTCTAAACATCGGAAAAACATGTTTATAACACTGAGAGATGGTGCACTAATATAAAAAGATCCAGATAAGGACGATTTATGTTGTTATTGTGGGTATTATTTTACTTTAGGACATAGCACGCACAAAAGTTATAAACTACTGAAACATTTAGCCTCCCTATTCTGAGCATTTTGAACTCCATATATACCAGGCGGGAATGGATAATAGCGACACAATTGAATTTAATTGGTTTTACGCAGTTTTCAGTCTTCATCTGCGAGATGTTATCGGCGCATCACACATGCTCAATAATGACTGACGTCATCCAGTCGTGACCAATGATGTATATCGATATCATCACACGATTGTTTTTTCAACCAATCACATTTAATTTTTTTTCAAAGGAAGCATCCTGGGTACAATTTTAATTTCACTGACCAGTCTCACAATGGCTGTGGTGGAGGTTGGTTGTCATTTGTGCTCCTACGATTATTTTTAAGTTTATTGCCGAGTTCTACAAGAAAGACGATCATTACATATACAAGTACAGGTATTATGGAATAGTTATGTGTTACGTACTGTACTATGGTATAGTTTTGTTTCATGTGTAATTTCAGGTAGATATACAGTATGTAAGTTGTTAGTTGTTCCTTTACTCTGTTACACACACACACACACACAATCCTACATAGAGAAAGTGCCAAAAAAAGAGAATAACTTCTTCAGGATTTAAAGTTTTATGAATCTGTGTTTTCACAGTTAAGTCGTTTATGGAGGTTGGGGGGTCCGCTGTGCAAAGCACCTTTGGTAGGGATGCTGCAGCATTACTGAGGTGAGCATCAGGGGTGACTGTGACACAGTGTGTACACTGACTTCAATATTTTTTTCTTCCCTGTTTATGCTTTCATTATTGCTACAGTATTTATATGCTTTTTTATTGATGTTTATAGTGCCATTGCCTACAATTTTAAGTTAGTTACTTTTAAGGGGTGAATATAATGATCTGAACAGACGCTACACTGTCAGTTACAGGTGATTTACTGTACAATTTGTACATTTTAGGCTTGGCACTCCAAGTTCTGGAAATAACCCTATTTGGCAACTACCAGGTTCCAAGCATGATGAATAAATAGTCCCATACCTGTACCAGATATGGTACTGCTGCATTGTATAATTTGTGGTTTGTAAAGTGAACCAAACTATTCTACCTAACTACAGGTCACAGTCTCTGGTTAAAAGGCCACAAGTTAAGAATATTGTCAGCGCAAGTAATTTTGGAGTGAGAGTTATGAACTCCTGGAATAACCTGCCAGAGAGAGATGTGGACACTGAGTGTGAGCCCATCTAAGAGCAGACTTGCCAGCACTGGCGCAGTTATAGATACTTTCTAGAACCAGTACATGCCCACTGCTTGCCAATAGTGTGTACCCTGTAAGAGAGATGTGACTGACTACCCAAGTGGTGAACAGGTTGATCAGTAGCAAAGAGGATAAAGTATAAAGTAACACATTTTCAGGAACACAATAAATTTGTTAACTGGGGACTGCCTATATTATTGATGTACAGGTAAACCCTGAGATACGATATCCTGAGTTGCGATATTTTGCTTTAACGATGGTTATAAATTAACCCCTTCTCCCTATATACGATCAAAACAACTCGCTGTAATGATGTCCAATACATCGAATAGCCATTGGTCGGATTTTTTTTCTCGAGCGCATACTATGGGTTGTTTATACTCAAATTAATCGCTGTCTTGCTAGTATTCCAGCAATGCAAGTTATATTTTTCTACATCACATCAGTGACATTTTATAAGGCAACAATATTTAACCTTATGTATCTTTACCTTCACTTGTCAGCCTACCCACGCGCCGCCACACACTCAACCCGTGCACTACATCCCTGGGTCTGGTTCTTTGTCGACCGTAAAACCCGTCATCACATGGCTCACAATTATCGGACAGTATCATACATTGTACTTATCATCAGTGTTTTTTTGTTTTTTGTTTTTTATTTATATAGTCAGAGGACAGAACTAACATTTAGGTTGAACTGTGTCATGGTGACTGCAAAGTGATATTTTATGTTTTTGTAATTTTAAAGTGCCTCGACTGTTGTTTTGAAAATGTGAGCAGTGTCGGCTGCTATCGTTGTTTTTGTTATCATCATTCGCTCTGTTTATGTGACAAATGCTTTTGCTCTGTGTGTGTAAGTGTGAAGCGAGCAGTGTAACTTTGAAAATGTCCGGGAAGGCCAAGGCACCCAAGACAATGGTGTTTCTGAGGTGAAGCTTGACATTGTTAAGCAGCTTGAGACTCCCTAGAGGCTGTGTGGGAGTCAGAGTGATATCTCCACTCCACCTACAAGCCTTGAAGAGGACATGTGATGATGACCAGATGTGTCAAATATGATGTGGTGAATGTTTTTTACTTGTTTTGTACTGATAGTAGTAGTGTAGGAAATTTTTTGTCGGGGGTACATGTGTGGTTGGGGACTAGCTGGGAACAAATTCCATTGAACCCAATGTTATAATGCTCCCTATTTACGATATTTCACCTAGCGATGAGTTTTACAGGAACATAACCCCATCGTATATCAGGGGGTTGCCTGTATTAAAGTTTATACAGTGATCCCTCGGTTAACGAGATTTCGGTTAACGATTTACCTTCCATAAGATTCTTAACTTCGGTTAACGAGCAATCCCTCGATTAACGAGTTTCTTACGAGCGGACCTCAACATGTTTTCGCTTGCATTTGGCGGTCCACCAGCTGTAGTATTAGTCCGCCAATACAGTAATCGGTTCTAGGGCTTAAATTCCTTACTATTTTAGTAAATATCAAGAAGCTTATACTATTCAATAATTTTAAAAGTTTAATATTAAATTTTTTAGTCATTTTAACAATAATTGAACATAATTGAAGTACAGTGAACCCTCACTTTACGCGGTTAATTCAACCCACAGGGTACCGTGGAACGTGAGAAACGCGTAAAGGTAACAACATAACATATGGGATTAAATGAAATAGAGACCGGCTGACCCCCAAATTCCACTTTTTCCAACACAATACCTATGTTCTAGTAAAAATAACATCTTAATTTTATGATGGTACATGCACACAATTAATACTTAAGAGAAATAGAGAAATACAGTCGCCAAGTTAATGTCCATTCAAATAATGGACTCAACTCCCTCCCCCTCTTCTCACACTACACTCCCTGGCTCTTCCCTCTCTGAGAAATTTTGGGGGGAAAACCACTAGATTTTAAGGTATAGTAATAAATAATACCTCAAACTAAAGTTAGGATAATATAATTGACATTGCTGGATTCCTTGTAAGACCAGGAATATTTTGAATATATATGTCATATATTTTGCACAAAAGATAACAATATTTACTCAGAGTAAACAAAATACTTACATTAGATCTAAAATTTGTATGTCTAATGCAAAATCTATGATGTTTATATTCAAAATGATCATCAAATTGTAAGAATTCCAGCAATGTAAATTATATTCTGGCCGGGTAATTTGTATAAATTTTATGAGCTAAAACAAATATCTTCAGTTAATAAAAAAAAAATATTCTTCACTACACTATCTGTCAATCAGAGTACCCCACCTTGCCTCCCCCCTCTTCCAACCGGTCCAGATGGTCGGTCGGTCCCTCCCTCCCCCCCACCCCCCACCAACCCTCTCTACCAGATAAATGTGTGGGAGAAACCAGAATATTTACCTTTTTAGTAATAAATAATACCTCAGACTAAAGTTAGGATAATATAATTGACATTGCTGGATTCCTTGTAAGACCAGGAATATTTTGAATATAAATGTCATATATTTTGCACAAAAGATAACATATTTACTCAGAGTAAACAAAATACTTACATTAAATCTAAAATTTGTATGTCTAATGCAAAATCTATGATGTTTATATTCAAAATGATCATCAAATTGTAAGAATTCCAGCAATGTAAATTATATTCTGGCCCGGTAATTTGTATGAATTTTATGAGCTAAAACAAATATCTTCAATAAATAAACAAAATATACTTACTGAAATACTATCTGTCAATCAAAATACCCCCCCTCTTCCCATCTGCTCCCTGGGTCCCTCCCTCCCTCCCTACCCCTCACCCCCACGTTCCCTCCCTACCAGTGAAATGATTGGGTTATAACAATATATTTACATTTTTAGTAATAAATAATACCTCAGACTAAAGTTAGGATAATATAATTGACATTGCTGGATTCCTTGCAAGACCAGGAATATTTTGAATATACACTTCATATATTTTGCACAAAAGATAACATATTTACTCAGAGTAAACAAAATACTTGCATTAGATCTAAAATTTGTATGTCTAATGCAAAATCTATGATGCTTATATTCAAAATGATCATCAAATTGTAAGAATTCCAGCAATGTAAATTATATTCTGGCCGGATAATTTGTATGAATTTTATGAGCTAAATAAAAAAATTATACTTCACCCGCGTAAAGGGGTACACGGGGTACACGCACCGCGGAATGTGAGCATTCCGGTTTCGGCAGGGTACCGCGTAAACGTGGAAACGCAGAATGTGGGACCGCGTAAAGCGAGGGTTGACTGTACAGGAAACTAGTTTTATGCGCGCCAAACAGCCTGTCAACACACCAAACAGGCGTCAGTCTCTGTGTCTTTTCAGTGGAGGTAACATCTTGGTTGAGACTCTCTTCAACTAAACGCTTTTTTTCTGTGTTTCCAAGCAAATTATTGGTCATTTTGAAATTTATTTTACATATTGACAATATATAATGCAGTGCAGTGTTGATTTAAAGAAAATAATCTTGAATTACACCAAGAGAGCTAAAATTTTATGGGTGAAATGGCACCATGGGGTGACTTCTCTTCCATCCCAATGCCTTCTCTTCTCCCTTCTCCTCCACCCCCATTCTAATTCCCATCATCATCTTCATCATCCAGGAGCCTTCTACATACACACCTCAAAGTAAGTGTACTTTACCACCATTGAAACAGTGGTTTCGGTTAATGAGTTTTTTGGTTAACGAGCAACCTTCTGGAACGAATTGTGCTCGTTAACCAAGGGACCACTGTACGTGCATTTGTATCATTTGAGATGTGGCTAACACCAGAAAATTTTCATTAAGATGACTCCTATAAAGTCAATGTTTACCCTTAGTTTCTAAAAAGAAAGTTGTCTCAATTGATTTTAAAATTCATTCTCATTGAGGAATGTGACATTTTTTTTCTAATAATCTAAATATATTACAGAATGAATTTTTGTGCAGGCTGCCTTAGTCCCAGAATAGCTACTAACAAGCCTGGAACAGACGACCGTGATGTTACTAACCTGGTAAGACACAACACAGTATGAAGATTCAGTTGAATATTGTACACTGTACCCCCATCTTATTTCATCCGATGATTAAACACCTCGGAGAATTAAGTTCTAAACAGATCAGTACTAAGTGGGATCATTATAACATAGGTACTGTACTGTACTGTACTGTTGTATATATGGTGATGGAGAATAGAGGAATTCCTCATCATTCAGTCCCACAACAAAAGTCAGCCTTAGTCCTTTAGAGTTTTGTTGGTGAGATGCTGCAGTGATTGAGTGCTTCAGACGTGAGGCCAGGGCTAGTCATTGTACATCTCCATCTAGCCTACTGTTTGTGTGTTTTTTTTTCTTCAAAACATTAAGACCCATAAAGGAATACCATAACAATAGGATTACGGTACATGAATATTAAATACCCCAGTTTATGTCACCTGAAAGCTAGACACCCCAACCTGTTTTACCTGAGTATTAGACACCCCAGCATATTTCACCAGAAAATTAATCACTCTGTACACTAATCATCAGGTGAAATAAACTGAGGAGTTTCATTTTCAAGTGAAATAAACTGGGGTGTCTAATATTCAGGTAATTCAGGCACTAAATTATAATTTTATCTTAAAAATAAGTGTAAGACCAGTGATTTTTTTCCAGGTTCAGAATAGGTCAAATCTGAGAGCCACTTCCAAACCCAAAAGCCAGTATGGTATCTGTATTTGTATTAGGCTCAAAACATAAACTGGGGATTTCTTTACATTTATTGTTCATATTCTGAGGGTTGAATGTCAAAGGGAAATTTTGGCATGATATCTCCTTATACCTATACAGTACTTTTATTTCCAGATAAGCGGTGACCCATCTGCTAGAAGAAAAGGGTTCATGTTAGAATACTTCATTAGGCCACCTATTGATATATCCTTAGAGTTCCCTGTGCCTGTTGACATAAGTCATATTAAATTGGAAACAAAACTTGAGCACATGTGCAGTACTGGCTTTGCTGTCTTCACCAGACCTGAGGAACACAGTCAACACAAGCAGCAACAAGTGAAGCTTTGTGGTGCCTCGTCCAGTCCTAATGATGTCTCCTCATCCGGTCTCGCCTGCAGTGGCCCTGCTGGTGCTTCTCAGACTCAGAAACCTGTGAACTCGTATCCTCTTTCCATGAATTTTTACTCCTGCTCTCCTCCTCCATCACTTCATGACTCAGGTCCTTCAGCTGCATTCTCCACCAGTCTCTACTCAGACAATGTACCATCTAAACACACAATTGGAGAGTTAGAAGAAAAGATTGATGACATTTATTTTTGTGTGGGAAAGTACTTTACCCAAAATGAAGAGCAAATTGTTCTAAAAAACCCTCACTATAAACAGTGGATGAATATTCATGTGCCAGAGTTAGGAGGTGCATGCCAAGGTTCAAGAGTTTATAATGGTACCCTGAGGCATCCCAATAGACTAGCCCTCAGATGTGTAAAGAAAGTGATAATAAGAATCTTAAAGACATCTGAGAAAGGTCCACCAGTTTTACGTTCGGTGGAGATATGGGGACAGCCGGGCATAAGTTCAAGTAAAACTGAAAGGAAAGAACTACTGAAAAAATGGGCTAATCGAATAAAAATGGAAGATTCTTTGCCTCTTGTGCCACGGATGTACAACTCAAGCCCAGAAGAAAACAAGAGAGAAATACCTATTGGCGAAGCGTTAAAGATCAAAGGTAGGTTTATTGAGTCATAGATGGATATCTCGTAATTACTGTACTGTACATTTAACACTCTTGGGATCATTTACTCCTATGTGGCATTTTGATTGAATGTAAATGAAAATTTTGCCGTATGATCAGACATGCCACTGTGGCATATAGTTTATTTTCTCTTAAAAGTTCCTGTTCAAATTAATTCAAATTTTAGCATCACTTTCTTCATGCCACTCTCATGCATGGAATCAGGTTTAAAGGCTATGTGGCAACCCATTCAACCTGCACTGGATAGCACAGCCTCCAGAAAAACACTCAGAAATGCATCTGGCTCAGTAAGCGAGAGGTGTGTGTGTCCTGGGCGCGATTTAAAACTGGCTACCATGGTGTTTACATTGCTCTCCAAATATTTATTACTTACAACCTCAATATTTATTCTTATGAAGAGATAAAGTGATGTGCATTGAAATATTTACAATGAAATACTGTAGAGAAATAAAGTATTATCTCTGTTAGCCAGAATCGCTCAAACCCGGAACTCCAATATCAGGAATTAAAATTTGCTTGGAATTGAAATTTGTTCAGAATTTTTCCCAAAAATTTTCTAAATTCTTGGTTTGGGAAAAAATTCTGAGGTTGAAAATGAGAAGCATTTTTTGAGAGGAAAAAAAGGGGGGGGGGGATTTTATAATTTGTTTATTCCTGGGTCTGGGAGCAAATTTTGATTATGAAATAATACGCAATTACTGGAAAATCTGAGAAAATGGTGAGAAAATCACTCCAAACCTTTCTGCTCAGGGCCTGGGGACAAGGGTTCCCGGCATCCTCACATGGTTGGTGCTTGGGTGGGAAGACCAACTGCTTGGGAACACTGGATTTTTCTGCTATGGGTCTATTTATAATTACTGTGCAAATATAAATATTTCTTTATATGTACAGTAGCTAAAACAACTATCTGTGCATAATTTGTGGGAAACAATATGAGACCATATGATAAATTTTGGTATATGAGGGCTGTCTCTAGTCACACGTAAAATTTTGGAGCATATCGACCCCCACCTGCACAGACAGTTGTTTTAGCTACTGTACATATAGTACTAAAGTAAAATAATACAGTAATAAATCAATGTAATTCCGAGCTGCACTAACGAGTCTGGTGGTTAGGTGACGAGTCAGGTGGTTAGGTGAGGGAGTTAGGTGGTGAGGTGACATGCCAAGACACTTACACAGCACACACATTAACAGCACTACTAAACCATTGTCTTATAACATTTTACTTAAGAATTAATATTTTAAAATTAATTTATACATGATGGCTCTATGTGGCTACTTTTGCACTTAGACAACCAATTAGTGAATAAACCAGGGCATATGGAGACGCATTATACACTAGTGATGTCACGAAGCTTTGAAACTACAACCACAACTGCGGAGCAACCACATAAATTATCACAACCTGTACTCAAATGTACTGTACTAAGTTAATTACTAAAATTTTTGTCTAGTGCTAACTATGGGATGTCTGTACTCAAATTATTCGCTATGTTGCAAGAATTCCAGCAATGCAAGTTATATTCTACTAATTCAAGTCAGTGACATTTTATAAGTGAAAAACTTAAACTCCCCGCCTTTTATAATTTATTCCTGTGTTCCTGACAAATACACATTAATCTCCCCTTCTGGCTGTCAACACCCCACCTCCTCCCAGGCAGCAAGTGATGACGATTACTGAGATGAAGGTGGTTTTAGGCTTAAAGTTTTTTGTTATAAAATGTCACAGACTTGACTTAGCTGGAATTCTTGCAAGATAGTAATTAATTTATGTATAAACATCTCATAGTTTGCACAAAAGATAAAATTTTTAGTCCTTTAGCTTAGTACATTTGAGTACTATACAGCTCCTCCCCGACTTACGACCTGCTCGACTTACAACCACCTGCACTTACGACCTGCCTCAGTCGTACCAAAAATTGTTCAAATTACGTATTTTCGAGTCCCAACGTCAGTGTACTGACAAACTTTTTGTTTGTAATTCACTTTAAAATGGCTGGCAAGCTTAAAAGTGAGAGTTTTGTGGTGCTGAGAAGAAAAAAAGATACTGTACACCCATTTTAGATTTTCTATGTATTATATAAGCATTTTCGACTTACGACCATTTCGACTTACGACCTGGATTTGGGTCCCCAACCCCGTCGTAAGTTGGGGAGGAGCTGTAGTGCATTTTTTCCCAGCTGAGAAAAGATGCCCTGCCAACTTCTCAAGAGTTAGAGCTGATTGGCTGTTGCAAACCTGACTGATTTGGTCCTGAAGTAATGATGTATTTCTAAAGGAGTTTATTCATAATCTTGGGGATGACCGTTTCTGACGAGAAGATATTTAGTTAAATTATATAAAGATACATACATTCATTATTTCAAACATGAGTACATTGGAAGTTTATCAGAAATTTTATACTGTACATTAGGGGGCAGGGAAAAAACACTTTTATTTGAGTTGCAGGCTGCACTTTTCAGGCATCGTTTGTATGGCTGTAACAAACACCTGTGCAAAATTTCATGCCATTTCATGCATACTTACCCTGCCGCATCGCGAACGACTTTTTGTCAACTTTTAGTGTATGCCAAAAATTAGGTGTCATTTAATGTTTTCCAGGATAATGATAAATTTTACATGGGTGACATCGATTTAATTCACATGTTATTTTACAGGTACACCGTATAGAAAATCATTACAAGTTCATATTGAAATTCTTTTTTGTGCGGAACCTTGGCATCATTTTCCTAGACAATAATCTTTGCCTAATATATCCATCTCTCGATTCGTATCCCGTCACTTCAGTGCAAGCTTCAGTCATCACTTTTATGCCTCTCTCGACCGCCTGAGTGCTGTTTGGCCACTTGGGCACCACTAATGGTGTCTCAAGAATGTCATTAACCTGTAGATTTGACAGAGAAGCAATGTAAGGAGGCTCAGTCTTGAGTTCATTCCTCCAGTTAATCATGGAATGATAGTTTTTTGCTTGCCACTTTAGTTTCGGAGTCACCACCTTTCTCATGTTGACTACAGGAGGCACATCCTCATTCCCATCTCCATCTTTACCCTCCTCATCAGTATAGTTTAACAAATTCTCGTCAACAGCAGCATCAGAATCTTCCTCCTCCTCTTCAGATCTACCAGTGCATTCTTCCTTTTGCTGATTCTCCTCTCTAATTTTTCTTATCATTGAGACAGCTTTTTCTCTAACAGTCATGTCCTCATCTGCACACATACCAAGAAGAAGTTGATCTGTGTGGGCGAAGTATGCATTTCTCTGGACAGCCTTCTTCACTATCGTCTCCTCCTCACTATTCAGGTGTTTCATATATAGCAGGGACTGGAATACGTTCCTTGAGCCGTGTGTTACGTAAGGGTGTATCTTGATGTAAAACCACATTGGAGCACTGAACTTTATTATTGTAATGACAATTCTTTTCAACTCATGGCTGGGTCTTGATGTTGCTACATACAGCCTGAGGATTCTACTCCATAAGGTGTTCCACCTTGACACACAGGGAGGACCTGGCTCAATAGCAGCCAAGTCATCTTCAACAACACCTGTGATAACTCCTTTACAAATCCTATACAGGTATTTCTGATCCCAGGACAGATCTTTCTCCACTTCATCATTAAACACAGGGAAATCAGGGAAACTGACTGGCTGGAAGGCGACAACTGGAAGCTCAGACAAAGACTCCTTGATCTGCTTTCCAATGGGACCACGCCAATGCTCAGGACCACTTGGTTTACCATCATAGTGATAAAAAACTGCGCGGAAAGGCAGCTCATTTCCGTGAAGCTGACATATGAAATAATGGAGCGGGTGACCAAGTAACATTTCAAGATGATGAATGACTCCATTTTCTGATCCTACATTTACATTGGTTCCATCACAACCAACACACACAATGGGCTGCTGGGTTAGATTTTTCTCCACCAGAAACTCGTGAATAGTTTTGGCAATCTGCTTTCCGTGTCCAGTCTTGGGAGTCACATGTGTGAGATATTCATTGCCAGGCTCAACCATGATGACATAATGAAATGAGAAAAGGCTGATAATCAATATAGACATAGCACCATACTCATCTGCAACAAGACGACTTAAATGAAATAAGAGATATGAAAAAAAGTTGATAAACACTGAACAGAACATTGCACCGCCACAGCGGCTGTTTGGCTAGTACTGTAGGTAAATTTAAAAATTTCAGTAGAAAATGCGGCAGACTAAACCTCGACATATCAGCTTCAAATTTGGCATGGAGTCTTAGATATGTATAAGGAACAATGCCTGAAGAGTGCAGCTTTGAGCAAAATTTCACTGCCCCCTACTGTACATGAATAACTGTTAAACTCTGGTAGCAAATTCACGTTTGTGGAGGATGCATTTAATATATACAAGTACTTATTTTTACCCACAATAAAGCATACTACGACAAATTATACGTATAAGTAATACTACATTATGCAAAAACTAACATTTTAAGGGATCAGAATCACATGGAAATATTACACGACTGTCAGCAGAGGCGGGAAATATGACAGCGAACAACTTCATATTTTTCCCGCCTCTGCTGACGGCCGTGTTTTATTTCCATGTGATTCTGATCTCTTAAAATGTTAGTTTTTGCATAATGTAGTATTACTTATACATATAATTTGTCGTGGTATGCTTTATTGTGGGTAAAAATAAGTATGCAGTAATACCAGGAGAGGGACAGAGTAGAGAACATCCACGCCTTATGTGTGGTCAGCCAGTGGACATTTAGCTTGGTCATGTCCATGTTCTTGTAGGAGTGCGGCTTGCGCGCTGTGGATCACCGATAACTTGAGCTTACAGGTACCGGAGGCATTGGTGGTAAACAGGACGGTGATGCGCTCCTTCTGCAACTTCCGGCCCCGACACTTGCTGGCAGTCTTGGCAACGAAGGTCTTGGAAGGTAGCTTTTTCCAAAAGAGACCGGATTCGTCCATTTTGAACACCTGGTCGTCGGTGTACTGTCCTTCCTCCATAATCTTACGTAAAAACGGAGGAAAATCCCGAGCCGCAACACGGTCAGCACTAGCTTCTTCACCACCAATGTTAATGTTGGTGATCTTGTTCCTCTTCTTAAACCTCTGCAACCACCCAGAGGAAGCATTGAAGGGTTTGGGCTCTGCAATTCCCATCTTACGTGACACTGCTGCGTACAGTTCACGTGCGTACTCCTGAACTGAGCGCGTGTCGACCGCCATGTTCCGTCTTGCCTGATGAACCAAGTAGCTCACAAGTAACTTCTCCGTCTTGAGAAGCACCGTGTTGTGGCAATACTTGATCATAGAAGCACCTGTAGACTTTATGATGTTCATGTGTTCTTTTATCTTGGCTGCATCCTTCTTGATTGTCCTGATCGTAGATTCGTTCACACCATGCTGGCGCGCCAAATCAACCCGTCTTGTTCCTTTCTCCAACTCTTGGATGATCTTGTATTTAACTTCGTAGCTTAGGGCACGTCGTATCTTCTTTGGCTTAGGGCAGCTGGGTCCAGGTAATGCAAGGTTTCTTTGTGGTGGTGGTCCGGTGGCAACCATTCTTAAGGAACAATGGATATCGATATACACGGTGTAGCCGGGAGGGGTGTAACTGATGTGGGTAGGTCAACGGGCTTCTTCGCTCCCGCGGCACGTCATATTACGTTAAACCAATCACAGCTAGCGGGGAGGGAGGTAAGGATGCTTGGCCCAATCACAGTTTGATACGTCATATGACGTCACCGATAACGCAACAAAGACATACACTGCGCAACCTACTCGTGCCGCTTACCCAACATGGCGGGAGAGATGGCGGGAGGTTTAAATCCAAAAATGGCGTGGCACGAGATGACCGCCAGCCGCTCTCCGCGTAAAAGATAGATGCACGCATAAAGTGAACATTCCAGGTCTGGCAGGGTACTGGCGGGGTACCACGTAAACTAGAAAGAAACGCGTAAAAAAAAAAACCTTTACTGTATATTAAATGTACAGGTGATCAATTTTATCTCTTGTGCAAAATATCTGATATCTATATTCAAATTATTTGCTCTTTTGCAAGGATTCCAGCAATGTAATTTACATTCTGCTATCTTTAGTCTGTGTTATTATATAAGATAAAAACTTTATGCCTAATACCACCAAACCCTGGTTGGGAAGATGGAAGATGGGGGGAGGTGAGGTGATATGTTTGACAGTTGATGCCAAGGGCTAGTGCTTTTTTATTTATCTGTCCTTAAGAGTGACTTTAAATTTTTCTCTTATAAAATGTCACTGAACTGACCTGGGAGAATATAATTAACATTGCTGGAATTTTTATAAGACAGTGATTAGTTTGAATATAAACATGCTATAGTTTGAAATAGACATACAAATTTTAGTTTAATTATTAATTTTATAACAAAGGGCTAAAATTTTTATCTCTTGTGCAAAATATATGATGTCTGAATTCAAGTTATTCGCTGTCTTGCAAGGATTCCAGCAATGTAATTTATATTCTGCTAACTTTAGTCTGTGACATTTTATAAGATCAAAACTTTAAGCCTAAAAACGAAGGTCACTCTTCCAGAAGTCAGAGGATAGTTGATTTATTATGACAGCTGGGCCGGGAGCATGGACAATGGTTACCTAGTGGTATTTATTTATGTAGGGGGAGTTTTTGTTTTATTCTTATAACATGTCAATGAATTGACTTAAGAGAATATAATTAACATTGCTGGAATTCTTTTAAGATAGTGATTAATTTGAATATAAACCTGCTATAGTTCGCAATAGACATAAAATTTTTAGTACTTAATTAGTACATATGACTAAAATTTTTATCTCTTTGCAAAATATATGATATCTATATTCAAACTATTCGCTGTCTTGCAAGGATTCCAGCAATGTAACTTATATTCTGCTAACTTTAGACTGTGCCATTTTATGTCAAGTTTAGTCACTTTTATTGGCCTCCAGAACCTAACCCAATTTTCCCCAATGATTACATGTACTTATATATCGCGATTTAGTAGATAGCAAACATCCTTGGACCCTATCTCGCGATATATCCCGACCCTACTGTATACTGTATAGTACTGTAGTAAGTTTTAATACTGTATATGTTCTTGCAGATTCACTGGAAATACCAGAGGACTTCCTTGACCCTTTAACCTGTGATGTGATGACGGTGCCACTCCTCTTGCCGTCAGGTCACTCTATAGATGCATATACTTTAGAAAGGTCAGTTATTGCAGATTTGTATGAAAATGAGTTCTAAAGCAGGTCATATTTTTATTTTTCATAGCCTAGCCCACCCTTTATTGCTATGCTGGATACCACTCCCTGTTTTGTAGATATTAATGTAGCTACTTAAATTTCAGCTTCTGAAACCATGCTGCTTTCATTCCCTGTTGTAGTGTAAGTGATCTAGTACTCAACAAATCACTGACCAGGGCCGGCCTTGGAGGTATGGGGCCCAATTGGGAACAATTTTGGTGGGCCCCAGGTTCCCAGCCAAGGTCTGTAGAATCATAGAACATTTTGTACTGCTCTTTACAGTAATCTTCCAAAAATTAGTGACTTCATATTTCAGATATATGGTTTATATCTTGGTCACTAAGACTTACCTCATTTATGGGTCCGTGACACAAAATTAATAAGCTAGTAGTAAGATCCAGTCAGCTGTGTTTACACTCGACGAAGGGAAACTCACACCATGAGATGGAAGCAAACGTAAATCTGACGACCTCTAGAAACTTTGGTCAGTCACCATGCCAAAGAAAACGTTTTTTAACAATGCGGAGTAAACTTGAGGAACTGAGGCCCTCATGTCGCATGTATTACCAAACTTTATAGATTTACCGCATTTGGGATAATTTACCCCCTATCCCCCGACCCCTTTTGTAAAACTGAAATACTTGAGTCTGAATATAGGCCTACTATATATTTTGCAACAGAGATGTGCATGTGCATAAAGATGTAATATAGTAATTTAATCACATGATACTGTTAAAAGAAAATATTATAGGTTTATAGATATTTAAAAGCTGTTACACGTTTATTTACTTATTTGTCTTTTTAATTTTTTTCAGAGAAATGATTTTTAATGCTGTTCTGTAATTAACATACCCTATTATTTAATACAGGTACAGTACAGTAAAACAAAATCAGAACATAAACAGTATAAATAAACACTACCGACTTTGTAAAAATTCATAAAAAATTATAATAATTGCTGTTCTCTGTAGAACCTGCAGTGTCATGTTACATATACTGTATATTGCAATGTATTGTTGTGTGTACTTGACGAGCTGAGAGTATATTACTCTAGTGCGGGGCCCCCTTAGGCTCGGGGCCCAATTGGGAGCAATTGGTCCAATTGGCTTAAGGCCGGCCGTGTTAGCCACCATATTTCCTGCCTTGAGTCTGTAGGAAGTGTCATTGGCTGCGTTGGAATCTGATTTCACGTTCTTCCATTGGAGCAGAGATGAGCTGTTGTGGTTGACTGTCATGTGATTGATAATAAATGTGTGAAGTCTGCGAGTCTTGTTTGCAATATAGGGGGGGTCTCCTACCCCCCTTTTTTTTTAATCGGGAATTAGCCCACCCGGGCACAGGTCAAACGGCCCACAATGGGGACTAGGAGGCGAAAAAATAAGAACAGAAAGAAATTGAAAATAGAGAAGAAAAAGGATATACTGTGTTAATCTACACCACGAAGATGCCGGAAAACCAGTATTTTAAAGTGAGACAGATTGTATAAGTATGGAAACACAGAAGAAGGCAGAGCGTTCCACAGTTTGGCTGTGTGAGGAAAGAAGGAGGTACTGTAACGGGTTATTCTCATGTGACCGATATCCACAGAGAAAAGGGGGGCACCGCGGGCAAGACGTGTGTTACGAGCCCACGGCCTTGCCGGCGGTACACAGGATGTCAAATCGACCGAACATTGCCCGTTAAAGTACCTGTAAATGGGAGAGAGTGAAGCAACATTACAACGAAGAGAAAGGGAAGAGAGATTGTCTACTAAAGGAGAAGAGTTAATAAGACGAAATGCCTTTGATTCCACCCTATCTAACAGTTGGACTGAAGAAGAGCCACCCCAGATATGAGAGCAGTACTCCAAGTTAAGACGAATGAATCCCTTATATACTTGGAGCAACTGCTCAGGAGTGAAGTAGCTACGGCATCTACAGCATTCCCAACTTTCGTGAGGCAGCTTTAGCTATATTAAGGATGTGTGATTTCCAGGACATATTGGAGAAAATGGTGAGGCCTAACATATTTACTTCAGAATTTGGCAGAATGATAGCATCCCGAAATGTAATTGGTGGGAGATCATCTAATTTAGAAAGCATAATTGGTAAATACTGAGTTTTTTACTATTGAATTTAACCAAGTTTGTAGTTAGGAGGAAGGGGAAAATGTGAAGAAGAGTGAAGAGTAGAATCATCAGCATAAGAATGGAGAGAATTAGTTGTAGTTGTGAAGTAAATCATTGATAAAAAGAAGAAAGAGAGTAGGTAAAAGAACAGAACCCTGTGGGACACCACTATTGGTAGAGAAAGAGCGAGAGATCGATCCTTCGACAACAGCTGCCATGGATCGGTTCTCAAGGAAGCTAGAGATTAGAAAACAAAGTTGGGGAGAGAGACCAAATGAGGGAAGTTTAGAAAGCAAAGACTTGTGGCATACCCTGTCAAATGCTTTGGAGATGTCGAGGGCCACGACGAAAGTTTCCCTATAATCCCTAAGAGAGGATGACCAAAGATGGGTGCAGTAGGAGAGCAGATCACCAGTAGATCACGCCTGGCGAAAGCCATACTGGTGATCTGACAAAAGAGAATGGCATTCAATGTGACTGAGAAAATGGGAGTTCAAGATAGTTTCGAAAATTTTAGAGAGGGATGAAGTTGGGGCAATGGAGCGATAGTTAGAGGGATTAGAATGGTCACCCTTCTTCGGGATGGGCTGAACCAAGGCATGCTTCCAAGAAGAAGGAATACCGAAATTTCTAAAGTGATATTGCAAGACATACAACAAACAATGCCAGGCTAGCAGTACACTTCACATTGCAGCTGTTAAATGCCAGTGTGTGCAGCTAGGCCACCACACAGTGGGTGGGTGGCGGAGCGGTGCAACTCACACCATCTTCAGTGACATGTATAAAACACTCCCACCAAGCCCAAAAGGCCAAGGTAAGTGCAGCCAGGGGTACAGGGTTGATCATATGGTCACTGTTGCTGGGTGACATATGTGCAACCTGTCGAAGGTCTTCCAAACTCGTCCTAGAAATCATTGGCGTGTCTTTCAAACTGGGTATGTGGCACTTACAATTTGTAGATCTAGAGTTATGCAAGAGATGGAACCAGGTTAATGGATTTATAGAAAGATTTTAGACAAGGAAAGAGCAGTTTGATTATTTTTTCAGTAAATGCTTCAGTTATTGTTGGTTGATCTCTAATACCTCATGATTAAACTGCAATGTCTGAAATGTTCTAAACAGTATTGAACTCCTAAATGCTTTAACAATAGCATATATTGTATGTGAATCATATTACTGTCCAGTATACAAATTAGAATTGTTTTATAAGTTTTATGTGAATCATATTACTGTCCAGTATACAAATTAGAATTGTTTTATAAGTTTTAGAAAAAAAAATGTATTACCTGTGGATTAGGCTGCCCAACTTATTTCACCTGAAAGTTAATTACCCTAACCTAACTTACCCTCTACTCACCTACCTCAGCCAAACCTAACACTAACCTACCCAACACCCTAACATAACATAACACCACCAAGTAGCATTAGGGTGGTTAATCATCAAGTGAAATTAGCTGGAGGGTCTAATCTCAAGGTGATCTAAAAAACTCTATATATCTTTGCAGGTTTATTACCAATGAGGCTCTCTGGGGACGTCCTCCTTCTGATCCATTTACAGGTGTTCCATTCAGGGTAGGAATGAAACCCAGCCCCAATGTTCTTCTAAAGGCTCGTATAGACAGGTGAGTTGAAAAATATATTGAAAACTTGAGATGCTTTGGGAAAGAAGAAGACAAGTTAGAAAGGAGGCTTGAAGTATGAATATTATACCATTACAGTAAACCTTCAATATTTGTGGTTCTGGATTTGCAAATTTTGCCTATTTGTAATTTAGTAAATGTGTACTTACCTATTCACCATTCGCATCCCCTGACTTCTGGTATTCGTAATTTTTCAAAGGGTTGAAATCCCTGCATCTTTGGGGGCGATACACCCTAATCCACAAAATTTAATTTATTGTAACATTACAGTAATGTTTATGGAGAAGTTTATAGGAAGTGAGTGTGGTGTTACTGTCACCTCCCATAGACTATTTCAGACTTACTTAAAAATCAGAGAATAGTAAATTTTTGCATTATTCATAGTTATACTGTATATTATATTAAGGTGTATTTTCAATGTCAGTTTAGCATTTGTGCTGTGATTAGTAAGTTGAATCCCATATTTTGACCTTAAAAAAATTTATTAATGTTAACACTCAGGATTACCTGAAATTTATTTAATAAGCTTAACACTCACTCTGTTTGGAGCCCACAGAATGACCAGAAATTGCAGAGATTTTTTTTTCCAAGTGCTATTTGTGGTTAAGACATTTTCAAATATTTATTTAAATGATGCCTTCCTATGTAAAAAAAAAAGGCTGGGAAATCACATGATACCATAAAAAAAGTAAATAAAAGCCATTTTAGTAAGTATAAGTGAAAAGTGAGAGTTTACTGTTGATTTCTCTTCATGCTGTACCCACATCATTTCATCAGTCAGTATAAAATGCACGTGGCAAGAAAGAGTAAATCATAAAGAAGACAATGGTGTAATCAGAAATAAAGATAATGGAAGAAGTAATGGAGTTACACAATAAAAAGTAAAAATAAGTGGCTGTTAAGCGTGCAGTTGCCAAAATGTTTATAGCTACACTTTTTTCTTGCTATTTTTTGGGGACAAAATCTTTTGAAAGTATTTTTTTTTTTTGGCGGAGTCTTACTATGCACTTACTAAGGAAGAGAAATGAACCAATTAGAAGTTTCTGTGATAAAATCTAAACTTTTGGTAATATATTTCCACTTGCTGTTCAGATGTTCCTGTTGCTTGTTGGTGAGAGCATACATGGCCATTTCACCAACCATTTCATCAACATTTCATAAATTAAAAAGTACTTCACTAATTCATTATAAACATTTCACTACACATCACTTTATCACTTCATAAGAGTAAATATCGAGGTTGTAAGTGATAAATATCAGGAGATAGTGTTGCAAACGCCACGGTGGCCATTTTTAAATTGTGCCTGGGATCGACACACTCACTGCTTACTGAGGTAGACACACAACTGGCATTTGTTGTCTGGATATCACTTGGTACACAGCACCTAGACAGGTTGCCTCCTAGCCTTAAGACTTGGTTCTGCGCAGGAGTGGCATTAAAATTTTAGGTAATTCGATCAGTAACTTTTAGAGAAAATTAAAAAAAACTTTTTTGTAGCCATTCTAATTGAATCACTCCCCATTGCTGGGAAGTCCATAAAGAATCCAAACAAATCACTTATTTCATTGTAGGCTGCAAGGCGATGTTCCAGATAAACCCAAAGCTTTTCAATACACTGCAAAAAAGCCTTAGTACGAAAAGCTTCCTTTGGCGTCAGTACAACTTCTGCCTGACCATAGTCAAGTGGTTGATGACATACATTATTCTAACGAGGTCGATGACATTCCACAAAATATTCTTCTGTGCCTGAAAACCTTCTACTAGCTCTTTCATATTCATCAAATCAACCGCATTGTTGATTTACAAAATCTTTCAGTGACTTAAGAACACCAACTACAGCATTTAAGTTTAGCTGGACTGATTGTAACATTTTGCTGCTGCTGTTGAAGCACTGTATGATGAGATTCCAAAACTCTGCAAAAATCTTAGTCTCAAGCTTGCTCATTTGATCATCCAGTCCTTGTGCAATCCTATCGCATTCTCTGTTCTCATTGTAGTCTGCTGAGATCTCTGGTAAAGTGTTCATGATTTCTTCATAACCACTGACTAGTGCTTGACAGGCATCTGCCCAACATGACCAACGTGTGCCACTCAGTTTCTTTGGTAGTGAAACAGAGACTGTGTTTTCTTTCAGTTTGTCTCTTTGTTACTTCAAAAATTAGGACTGGTACAAGTAAATCTATTCTCTTGGATCTTTCTATAAGAACACCCATTTTCAAGTTAAACACTAAATTTCATTGTTTTAGAAATAACCAATTTAAGAGGTCTTTATCGCCAATTACCAAGTGACAATTTTGGGCGCCAGGTCAGTGCCCAAATCGTTAGTTTGGCAATAAATCTTCAAGTCTGGCAACCCTGTCGTGCAGGTGCACTGGCACAGCAGTAGGCCCAAAGAAACACTGAGAAAGATGGGCCAGGCAAAAATCTACCCCAATCCCCTTTATGTTTGCAATTTTTTTTTATATCATAGATACCTTTTATTAGGATTCTTTCTTCTATGCTTTCTTTTCAAAGCTATTAACAGTGAAAAACATCAATACAATACAAACAAATATGGTATACTGCAGTAAGTAGGTTTACTTATAAACCGTGGAAATATATCATTGCTTATATAGGCATCCCCAGTTTATGGAATTTCGCCCATACGGAATTTTTAAATTTAGACCATAATTTGGGGTTACAAAAAAATCGCACCTTACAGAATTTTGACAATTTTGAAGAAAAAAAAAAGATTTTTATTAAAAACAAAATAAATAAAAATTGTTTCATGTGGATCCATCTGTGGTAGCAAAATTGCACCAATGGTTTCAGTCTGCTTGAATCTCCAGCCAATGTTCTGCTATCCCTCAGTGTTCTGGACTATTACAGGTACTCCTCGACTTACGACCTACTCAACTTACTACCACCCGGACATACGACCGGCTTAGTCGTATAAAATATTTTTCAAATTACGTATTTTCGAGTCCCGATGTTAGTGATCTCGCTGTGTACTGAAATTTTTTTGTTTTTAATTCCCTTTAAAGTGGCTGGTAAGAGTAAAAGTGAGAGTTCTCGTGGTGCTGAGAAGAAAAAGAGACACCCATTTTAGATTTTCTATGTACAGGTTGTACCTCTCTAGTCCGGCATTCTGTGGTCGGGAAACTCCCGTGGTCCGGAACGATTTTAGTTTGTCCAATAGGTAGATAGGCAGCTTTTTTTTTTTTTTTATATCTGAATTATTATTATTATTACAGGAGTATTAAATTTTTGCCCCTCAGGCCACAATGTGGGTCAGTGACCTATGCCCGGGTGGGCTAATCCCCTTAAAATAAAAAAAACACCCGTGGGAAATTAAGGTTTGTTTACATCCAGCAGTTCGGCTGCTCTCTCTCTCTCTCTCTCTGCTTGTCTATACAGAGTACAACATTTAACCCTTCAATATATATGAGCAGTAAATAAGTGTTGCTTTCATATTCTTATGTAGAGTAATGACGATATGTTTTCACATGTGCGCACTTACATACGCGCAGTCTCACTTTTTTTTTTACCATTAATGGTTAGCTACTTATATTGTTCCATTTATTAGCATTAAATAACATTACAGGTACTTCAAACAACCATATTAATTTTTTTACATTAATTTTACTACAGCTAAAATCAGGGTCTTATTTTCTTCAGTTTTATATGTAGAACCAATCAGTCACTGGTTTTGTAAGCTTTAACATAAACAATGCCGGTAGCCGTCTCGTCTCCTCTAATACTCCACGTATTATTAATAAATTGTATTGTTAATTTTGCACACACACACACATTAATTCAATAAAAACAAATTCAGAAACATTAATTAAAATATATATGAACAGTAAATAAGTGTTGCTTTCATATTCTTATGTAAAATAATGACGATATGTTTTCACGTGTGCACATGCGCACTTACATACGCGATCTCTCTTTTTTCTTTACCATTATCATTAGCTACTTCTATTGTTCCATTTATTAACATTAAATAACATTACTTAAAACAACCATATTAATTTTACTACAGCTACAACCAAGGTCTTATTTTCTTCAGTTTTATATGTAGAACCAGTCAGTCACTGGTTTTGTAATCAACGAAAACAATGCTGTGTCATTTCCTCGTGTGTTTTAATATTCAACGTATTATTAATGAATTGTATTGCTCATTTTGCACACATAAACATTAATTCAATAAAAAAGACATTCAGTAATAAACAATAATGAATCTCTTGTACATAAGAGAAATGACGCTGTTTACACGATTATGCACGTCGTCTGCACGTTGGCGGGCTGTTCAAACCCGTCGAAATTCAAGTTTCCGCCGTCAAAATTTTTATTTATTTATTTTTTTGTGTTCCAATAAAATACGTTAAGAATTAAAAACTCGCGAAATTTGAGAAGCTACTATACGACATTTAACCCTTCAAAGAGACCATGATGCAGAGAAAGTGTTGCTAGTGCTTCCAAGCATAAGCACAAGTCACTATCTATCCAGGAAAAGGGTGAATTTCCATGGTCCGGCACTGGTCAGGTCCCGAGGTTGCCGGACTAGAGAGGTACAACCTGTATTATTTTCGCATTTTCAACTAACGACCAATTCGACTGTAGACCTGGTCTTCGGTCCCTAACTCCATCGTAAGTCGAGGACTGACTGTATTGTATCGTGCATTCTTATTCAAGATAAGTGGAAAAAGGCCATCAAGTGGAACTGTTAGCAAAGTTGATAAAAAATTGCATAAAGGAATTGCATTGGAAATTTAACTTTATGTATTAAGGAGGTAACTCCCAGTAAATCTGATCCCACAACCTCATCTCACCACCTCCTGCAGCACTCAACGTTGTTTCTGGTAAGTAAAATTTGAGTGGCGTGTGCATTTATTATCATGTTACATCATGAATGACTTATTGTATGTGGTTAAAACCATCTGATTTGATACATACTGTATATGTGCTTGTGTCACGTTTTGGGGCCTCAAAGATTTTC